GGGGCTAGGGGCAGGCTAAAGAAAGCATCCTTCAAGTCCAGGGTAGTATACCACGCATGATCTGGGGGAATATTGCTGAGTAGCGTGTAAGGGTTAGGGACTGTGGGATGTATGTCTTCAACTCAGCGATTTACCTCTCTCAGATCCTGCACTAGTCGGTACTCCCCCCCCGGTTTCTTTACTGGGAGGAGAGGTATATTCCATGCAGACTGGCACCTCTTTAGTACCCCTTCCCATAACAGCCGTTGGATATGGGGTTGTATGCCCTCCTGGGCTTCCCTGGGCATGGGATACTGTCGGACTCTTACCGGTGTGGCAGAGGGTTTTAAGTCCACAATAATGGGTGGTCGGTGTTTTGCCAATCCAATTCCTCCAGTTTCCGCCCAGGCTTGGGGGAACTCTTCCAGCCACGGAGCCATATCTGTTAAGCCTGTACGTTGGTCTTCTACACCTTTATACAACTGGTATTCGTCATGTAAGGCGACCTTCAGGACCTGTAGAGGGGAGCCTTCCCCATTGGTAACCTGGACACCATTTTTGTGAAAGAATATATGGGCTTGGGCTTTGGATAATAAGTCTCTTCCTAACAGCGGTGCAGGACAATCGGGTACAATTAAGAATGAATGGGACACTTGCTTAGTTCCCAGATTCACTTGTCACTGCATTGTCCAATGATACTGCTTTGCCCCTGTTGCTCCCTGGACCAGGCTAGTTTTTGAGGAGATCTTTCCCTCCTTCTTATTTAGGATGGAGTACTGAGCCCCTGTATCCACCAGGAACTCTACTGGCTTCCCCTCCACCTTCAAGGTTACCCAAGACTCAGGGAGGAGTTCTGAGTCCTGTCTCCCCTAGTCGCTGTCCTCGCCTGCCATCAACGTCCTAACAGGAGCAGGCTTTTCATATTTTTTGTTCTCTTTCATTGGGCATTCATTCTTCCAGTGTCCAGTCCCTTTGCAAATGTGCATTGGTTCGGGGCCAGGGGTGGGTCTCGGCGGGGCCTGTCATGTTGGTCTGGTCTCCTTCCTTTCCCTCTCCCTATGTCTCCCCAAGCTCCGGCAAAGAAAATCTTTGCTAACTCCTTCTGATTTTGTTTATTCTCTTTAGCTTGGAATTCCCTTTCTTCCCTCCATATTCTTTCCTCTGGGGTTTCTCTAGTATTATACACCCTTTCTGCTACTTTCATTAAGTCCTGTAGGGTCTGCTCACCTAATCTATCTATCTTCTGAAGCTTTCTTCTGATATCAGGGGCTGCTTGGTTTACAAAAGATAGGACCACTGCTGCTCTACTCTCATCGGCTAGCGAGTCCATGGGAGTATACAGTCTAAACGCTTCCATCAGCCTCTCTAGATATGCTGCAGGGCTCTCTGTCGGCCCCTGCCTGACTAAGTTTACCTTGGCCAAATTAGTCGGCTTCCTCGCCGCCACTCAGAGACCGGCCATTAGAATCTGGCGGTACTTTTGGAGACGCTCCCTACCTTGGGATGTTCAAAGTTCCAACCAGGATGAGATAACGGGACCCCAGCGTCAATTAAATTCTGAAGCGTTGTCAGTTGCCCATTATCTCCAGGCACATTTTTCCTGGCCTTGGTCAAGATCCTTTCTTTTTCTTCAGTGGTGAACAAAACCTGCAATAACTGATGACAATCATCCCAAGTGGGGTTATGAGTAAACGATATAGAATCTAACAAATTAATTAGGCTTTGGGGGTTTTCAGAAAAGGAGGTGTTTTGTGCTTTCCAGTTATACAGGTCTGATGTTGAACGCGGCCAGTACTGCCAGGTTCTGCTTCCGTCCTCACAGGGCGGGCCAACTGCCCTGAGAGGCAGCGCCTGGACAGTAGACGATGGAGCTTCAGCCTCCTGGGAGTCCCTCTGGCATGGGCGGAGGCCAGAGGCTGGGCCCGTAATGACGGGTGGCACACTTGGAGCACTCGCTCCATTCCCTCCTGATACTTGTTGAACCTGGAGAGGGTGGGAAGGTGGGGGAGGGGCATAGGGAGGTGGAGACACGCTGCTCTCTAGATCCATCAGATCAAGGTCAGCCTGAGAATCAGGCAAAACCGGTGGAACAGCTGCTCGGGATGCAGGTCGTCTCGGTTTCTCCTTTTCGCTAGTCCCGAGTGAGGATGTTAATACCTTAACAGAGAGGTTCAGAAGAAAAGGTTTTAGCCATGGGGGCGGGTTAGTCACTATATCTTGCCACACTAAAATGTAAGGAAATTGTTCCAGGTGCCCACGGGGGCCTGGCACCTGGACTCGGTCGAATACGGCTGCGATCACCTTTCCATCCAGCGAGCACTCCGGAGGCCACCCCACCTGAAGAGAGGGCCATTCTGAAGAGCAAAACGTTATTAGTTTATTTCTCTTAATTATCACAGACAAATTAGATCCTCTGGTTTTAAACTCTGAAAAATGTTCAACCATCAGGGACAGAGGGGTAGTCTGTTTCTGTCCCATTTCAACCTCCTTTTAGAAAACACAGAACAAATAAAAGACAGTGGCCACACAACAAGAGACACCAAAACAGACAGCACAAATATCCAACACCCAGAAGAGATCTCGTTCCAGCACCACAGATTGGAGGGGTCTACCCCCTCCCTTGAAGTGGGCTGCTCTTACCAAAAAGTGCTCACAGCCTGCCTGTGAGTTGAGGAAGGGATCCTTCCCCCACTCGTCCGGTGTGTCCGTCGGTTTCCCGATCTGGCGCGTCTGCCGGTTTCCAGCCTTTCCTGATGGACTAGTGTCCCCACGCAAAGGACGTCTAACCCTGCCGGCTTCCTGAAACTCTCCTACTATTGCGGCAACTTCACTCGTTCTGAACTTTCCTTCCCAGCCAAAGCACCAAATGTTGAGCCCGGAAAGGAATGTCGGCGCGAGGAAGTCACCACAGACACGATAATGCAAAAGCAAAAGGAAAGTTTATTAGCTAGCTCGAGCTAGGGTCCCTGCTCTTGCCAACGCAGTGGCCAAGGCAAAAGACCTTGTGCTCTGTTACTATCATATTTTTATAGGAAAATATAGGGTGGAGTAGCACCAGGGCAAAGGGGTACAGATGATTGGTTGTTGCTAAGGGGTTTTAGGGCAGGTATCTGAGAAGTTGGGGGACTTGTTGGAATCCCCCAGCTCCAAAGTCCACTTAGGGAATTATTATCTCAGGAGGATGCAGAGTCCTGATACGTGGGAGACTTCAGGAGCCAAGTAAATCTCTGATACGCACTGAATCTGGAGGAAATCTCTGATACATGCTGAGTCCGGAGGGTGGATAAAAGCCCTGAGGCATGGGGAGTGTTAGAATCCCTGACACTGAAAGACTTCTGGTTAAAGATATACTGGGAGGCCATTAGGACTCAGGCCTCACACTAATTCTCCCTTTAAATAAGGAAAGTGAAGTCTAAGTTACTCCTCATCCACCCTCTTCCTTCACTAAACTGTCCCAGAGCAGATTCAAGCAGAGTCCCCCTGCCTACCTCCTCCACAAAACTGTGTGTACTTGAGGTCATAGAATGACTCTGCTTGGGAGGCAGAAAGACTTTTATTCCATTCCTGCATCTACCACTGGGTTGTGTAATTGTGGGCAGAGCCTCATTGGCCTCCGCTCTAAAATGGGGTAATACCTACTTCTCTGGGTTGTTAGGAAGACTAACTAAATAAAATGCACCTCTTTGGTAGGAAGATTGTTCAGGACCCTAACCCTGAGGACAATCACTGAGAACTCTGCCCTTCAGGTCAGAATTCCTCTCTAGATGTGCATCCACTGTCCTGGAAAACACCTGGGCATTAGAACAAGGTAGAATTAGGTTTGAATTTCATCTTTTCACTTATTATGTGAGTGACACTGGGCAAGTTGTTGAACTTATCTGAGCCTTCAAGCTCATTTCAAAACTTATAGCTATTTCTAGAGACTTATTAGATTGATTAAATGCACCCCCATGCATGATCCCAGTAAAGTCATTGGTAGATACTCAACAAATACCAACCAGTTGCTGTTGAGTTGATTCTCACACATGGCGACCCCATGTTTGTCAGAGCAGAACTGTGCTCCACAGGATTTTCAATGACTGACTTTTCCTAAAGTAAACCACATTTCTTTATAGATGTCTCTAGGTAGACTTGAATGTCCAACCTTTCAATTAGCAGCTGAACATGTTAACCATTTGTACAATGCAGGGATGATCAACAAATACACTTATTTTATTCTAAATCCCTTATTAGGAGACATTTCCTCCATTATGAATAAAAAACAAAACCAGACTCGCTGCCCTTGAGTCAATTCGACTCAGAGAGACCCCTCTTTGGGTTTCTGAGGCAGTATCACTAAGGAAGTAGATTGCCCAATCTTCCCTCCGAGGAGTGGCTGGTTTGAACCGCCAGCCTTCTGGTTAGCAGTCAAATGCTTTGGGCACTATGCCACCAGAGGTCCTCCTCCATTATGAATGCAAGGGTTAATTAGTTTTATCACTAGATAGCAATTCCAGGTGTGCCCTCCAGTGATACTTAAATTTCCTATTTTATTATTACTATTTTTAAAAATTAAAACTGTTGGGCAATATACTTTTGTAGTGATACTGCCTCAGAAACCCAAGGAGGGGTCGGGTGGATATGAGTAGGGTTCAACTCCATGGCAGTGCATTGTTGTGTTGTTGGGGATAGGAAGCACCTGAGTTTAGATACCCACTAATTCTTTCAACCAACTCATTTCTACATCTTAAAATGTTGTGCCCAGGTTATGAAGGAGTTGTTCGTCGTGAGGAATTTGCCAACACGCGATAATGCAAGCGCAAGAAGGAAAGTTTATTAGCTAGTGCGGAACTAGGGTCCCTGCTCTCACCGACATAACAAGTTGAGCAAAAGACCCTGTGCTCTTTCATTATCACATATTTATAGAAAGAATATAGGGTGGAGTAGATAATTGGTTTTTAGGAAAGGGGTTTGGGAAGTTGGAGGGTGGGTTGGAATACCCTGGCTTCAAAGGTGAGCGAGAGACTTTGTTGGAGCCATGCAGAACTCTCTGATATGTGTGAAATCCAGGGGGAGGGGGTGAGACCAGGCAGAACTCTCTGATATGCGTGAATCTGGGGGGAGGGAGGTGAGACCTGCCAGAGCTTGAGATATGGGAAATCTCCACATTAAAGGCTTCTGGTTAAAGATTTACCTGGAGGCATTAGGACTCAGCATGGGACGTGTTAATCTCCACATTAAATGTTTCTGGTTAAAGATTTCTCAGGCCTCACAAAAATACAATGAAAGAAAAAAAAAAAAATCTGTCTCTATCACACACTCACTGGATTCTTCACTCACCAGAAAGAAATACCAATAAAACAAAGTCTAGTGATATGCAAAGTAAATTATAAAACGTTAACATAGGATGGGAACAAATAGGTCACAAAACAAGAAATGCAATTATTTCTTGTTTGCGTATGCAATAACCAAAACCAAACTCACTGCCATTGAGTTGACGCTGACTCACAGCAACCACCTTTTTGGTTTACAAGGCAGTAAATCTTTCCGGAAGTAGATTACCCAGTCTTCCTTCTGCCAAGTGGCTGGTGAGTTTGAACTGCCAACCTTCTGGTTAGCAGTCAAATGCCTTGGGCACTACGCTGCCAGAGCTCCTTCACACATGCAATGGTGGGGAGTGGGGGTGGGTGG